TCACAAGGATCTACATATAACCCCCTCCCTGTGCTTGACACAATGGATGAATGTATGGATTGTGATAAGAGTTGTACAAGACCTCAATAAAATGATTTAAAATAAATAAACAAATAATCCATCCCAGAGACAAAATTTGTTTCGAAATCTGCCTGGGTACAGAGCTCATTCTAGTATATCTTTCTGTATATAGATATATCATGCCTCATGATATCTTATAGTTAAGTGTCTTTGTTATTTCATAATGCACATTATTAAAAGTAACTGTAAGTCAAGGGTACATAAGTGTACCCATTAAATCTCCTGATTCTAAAGGTCATTTAACATTGCTAATGTTAGTATTTTTCACATTCAAAATTTTATTATTCAACAAGAAATTTAAGGTAGCTTATCTGAATACTTTTAACTTTTAAATAATTTTAGAGATTTTTGTCTCATTTGTATTTTCACAGTCTTTTGCACAATTATTGATATCATATTTTTGAATGAATATATTTAACACCGTGCCTGCCCCTGGATATCCCAGGTTGCTAAGGTCATATTTTTCTTTAGCACTTTAATAGAATGGCTAGAAACAGTCGCCATTCTGCATACATTGGGAATCTCAGTGCTCTACTCGCCTAAAATATTTATGAATATTGTGTTGTCAAGGGCTCCATATAGTTTCCCTTTAACCTATCATTTGAGCTGTTTTCCTTTAAACTCCTGCTGTCAGCTCCATTCTGCAACTTGTCTTCTGAGATTACTATCCTATTGCTATACCAGGTACTGCTCTGTGGGGAAAGAGTGCTGTCTGCGAGACCTTTACGGCTTAGTTGGTATTGCAAAAAGAATTAAGGCAAATCACAGGTTTTCTTTATTCATGGTCTTACTCATGAAATATGCAAACATTCATTGACAACCATGGAATCATGTTGGGCACTGAGGAGACAATCGTAAGTAAGTAAGTAAGTAAAATTTTCCTACTCAGTAGCTCACACTCTAGAAGGGGAGCCATAGAGGACTGAGAGCAATGACAGCTTGAACTAAGAGTTGAATTATTAACCAATCTTGTAGGAAGGACAGAGGTACAGAAGAAGCCATTAAGAGAAAGGGCCATACTTGCAAACAAGCCATCACGGGTGAAGCAGGGTACATTACAACCACAGTTTGTGATGCATCTGGTCTCTGAGGAATCCAACACTCCTTTAATATGCTCTTCCAACATCCTCAGGATTGTCCTGCCTCCTGCTCCCTCAAAGATAGCTCTTTCTTATAGGGAGATGGATGGTAACAAAGATTAGCCAATCCTCTCTATTAGTGCTACACATGCTCTATTTGCATAGTCACACCCAAACATTTGGTAGTGTTTACAGAGTCTGGGGTAAAAGATCCATGTTAAGAAATTTCTGATGAAACATATAACTTTCCTCTAGTTCTTTAATGCTTCCCCCTCACCCCTACTGTCATGATCCCAATTCTACCTTACAAATCTGGCTAGACCAGAGGATGTACACTGGTACAGATAAGAGCTGGAAACACAGGGAATCCAGGACA